GTGCAAGCTGCTTCTGTTAAAGGTGATATCATAGTTTAGTGAAGACTCCGGTAGGCAAGGAGTTAACTAGGAGGAGGAATATGCATGTAATGCAACTCAGACAATAGGAAGGATTTTCCTTATAGAATTACGGTGCGCTGCTTTAGAGCGATCTTGCTGAGAGCATTTAAAAAGATGTATTTGCAATAAGAACTGGCTTTATCAGCCACTAAATCTATAAAATAATTTTTGAAAAAAAAAAAAAAAAGCTTATAAATGCCAAATATCCAGAACGATCCAATGAAATGAGTTTTCAAGCTGATGTCACTGTAGACAGGCTAGAATGTATGGTAGTTAAGATTTCTACTTCTTTTTCCTGCAGCAAAAATTATAAGTAACTTGAAATGACTCTTCAACCTTGGGGCACAAAACAATCATCTGAATATGCAGAAAACAAGCTTTTAAAACCAAAATTGCATAAAAAAGTGAAGGAGTAAAATTAGATTCCTATTTCTAGAAGGTGGTAGTCCTCAAGGTGAGCAAAATGAAAGCTTGCCCAAAAGCCTTTGTGAGGCTACAACCAAATATTAATTCTGCTTCTCACTCCCAAGTAAGTCCAGCTGGTAAATTATTCCCACATGACATGAGAAAGGGAAGATGTTTGGTGTAGCATTCTGTGCAGTTCGTTACAGAGCCTGAAATAAAGAAATAAATAATTCCCAGAGTCCTGGACAAGCAAGACAGCAGAGGATGTCAAACAGGGTGGGGTCCAAGGAGAAGAAAGATGACAACTTTTCCCCCCTCCTTTATAGGATATATGTGGCTGGTATTTCAAGTAGTTTGCTTTCTCAAAGTCATTTTGAAAAAAAAAAAAAAAAAGTCAGTACTAAGAATGTGCTTTCATACCTCGTCTGTGCATGATTATCAGCATCAGAAGGTAAAAGGAAAGAGAATTGCTATCAGCTTAACGGTTAATGGGTTGCTCCCGAAAAGGAGCCTTATATAACTCCAACCAAGGGTGGGCAGGTACTCGCTGTTGGGGTTTTTTTGTTTGTTTGTTTGTTTGTTTTTTGCAATTCTTGTCTCTTCACTTCATCTAGACATCTAAACTGAGCCTCAGTATTCTTAAATTGATCTAATATTCAGTTCATTCTCGATGGAGACATAATGCAGCTAGCACTTAGTTGCTGTGACATTTTTTCATAGAGCCTGAAAAACCTCTAATGCAGTAACAATGAACCACGTTTTCCTCCTCTCAAGGAAGGATCACTTTAAATAATGGTTGCTTTTTAATATTTTTTATCAGTTAAATGCTTTGTGATTAGAGAGGAAATCTGTTCATGAATTCTCTTAATATTGTAGTCACTGGTAAAATAACCTCCAGTGTGTTCATTAATTAAGGTGATATATAAGATACTTTTGATTTAAGTGTTCTAATTTGGAGGTAATAAAATGATAGCAGAGTAGTGACTTGCCTGTGTTAGTGACTTTTCCAACCATCTGCAAAGACACTGATTCAAAGCCACATAAGTCCATGATGGTGCTTTCATGGACTTAAGCAGTTGTTAGAAATGATTGAATACTGAAATAGGAACCAATCAGCCTGGAATAATTTTTGCCATAAATGGTACCTAATCTCGAAAACATATTTTGAGATCTTTAATGTTTTACTTCACAAAATGTCATTGTTTATGTCTATGATACTTGAGTACTTGAGGTCTAAAAAACAGTATTAAAAGTAAATGGGTAATGCTAAAAACATGGATAGTCTTATTTGTTTTGAACTACAAGAATTCTGAAGAGCTCACTTTGCCTGAGTATATGTCTTCATGGATTTTAAGAGAAGCAGTAATTTGTTAGTACACTGCTTTCTCCCAAAACCTTTTAGAGGGTTGGGAATAGCTAGGAGGTGCTACACAAGTTCTTGAGTTTTGGGTACTCCATGTGTTTCCTGACTAAGGGAGTTGTAACGCCTGCTATGTGTCTCTTCATGAATCCCAGAAACAGGGGTTTTGTACTAGCAGTAAAATGCTGCTGACATAAAGTAAGTTAATATTGCACTATGAGTTTGGAATACTCATGTTTAGAATATCTGGTAAAATGTTAAACTTTAAACCTTTTAGCTGCAGACATTTTAAGTTCAGTATCAGTAGGGGGGTTAGTTTAGTTTTTAAAGAAAACACACTTCAAAAGTCTTGTTCCCTTAGATAGTTCAAACATACTTTTAATTAAGTTATACTACTATACCGTAAGTCAGCTTTTTGGAGGGGAAAGAAACTTTTTTTTTTACCTTCAAATTTGAGTATATAATATTTTGGTGCTATTGAGGCACCTATCACATTGTTAAGCCTCCACTGCTCTTCATGTCTGTTCAAGAGGAAGTTCTGTACAGAATAATGTATTTGAAGGTTTATTCTGTTTCCTCAGACCTCTGTGGTCTTGAAGATGTAGGACAGAGTTATTTGATCCACTGCTTGGAGCACCTACACCCCCACTGGAGCAAACTACAGCTCCCTCGATGTGTGTTCTTGGCGCTCCTTCATATACAACTGAGCATTTCTTCAGTCATGCCCTAGCACAGCAAGATAACTTACAGTACAACAGATCACTACTTGGCTTGTTTGTAAAGATATTTAATGTATTTAGTACTATCTGAAAATATGGCCATACTTTTAACCAAGGTTTATTTTTAATTTTTAAAATAGAATTTTTTTACTTTTTGTAGAGTTTTTCCAAGAATACAAAGTCCCAACTTTGTATTGGGATAACAAGGCAGGTAGTCCTAAAGAAATCGAGGTATTTTTATGAGTGAGATGAGTGGAGCTATAATACATGTGTGCTTTTTATTTATTTCAAATTTCCATCCATAAACATGGAATAATTCAGTTGCGAAGGTCATTTGGACCAATCCCTCATCCAAAGCAGAGCCAATGGCTTAAGAAGATGGGGTTGCCCAGGGTTAGTTTTGAGGAATAAAAAAACAAAAAACAAACAAACAAAAAAAAACCTTGAAGATTCAATGGTCACTGTAAATTTTTGAAATTCAAGGTATTTATACTCTCCAGTTGTCCTCATAGTTCATCGTTTTATTACTTAGTTCATAACTTAGAAGTCGTCACTGAAATTAGTTTATAGTTTAGAATTGCATCAGTGCAGTTCAAATTTTCTGTTGAAAGCTTCAAAGAATGGGTTTTGATGCTTCAGATGATACACTGTGGTTTGCTTATTCTTCTTTAACTGTTGCTATACTATTAACTCAGAATTCTTTTTCTGTAATGGGACTCATCAAAGATACGTAGCTGTAATTGCCTTGTAGTAGTTGGTATGAATGTATTGGTTAGTAGAAGGAGCACTACTCTGGGTTAATAAAAATTTTCACATAGCAGCTGGCACCCACCAGCTACACATGCAGACCCAACGGACAGATTAAAATAAATGCATAGACATTTTTGTGTCTGAATTTCAATGTGTGCATAGAGCTGAATGAGGAACTAACAGCCTACTAAGTTTTATAGAAATGATTCATAAAAGCAAATTTTGTTTTTATTTTCCTGATCTTAGATCTTTTTGGTCTCTCGCTGGTTATATAGTTAGAAGCAGTTAGTTGTATGGCAAGGGAGCAGCATCTCAAATCACTGTTTGGTAAACGCATTTAGAATATCTAGATATCCGTTTATGACTGTATTTAGTCTGTTGAAAGTTACGCTCTAAAAAATCAAGTCCCAAGTAGTCTTTGAAGCAGTAAGGTAGGAGGAGAAATGGGATTTTAAAGACAGTGCATTGGTAATCCTTCTGAGCTCTGTGCTGGTCTGTGATTAGTGGGTCAAGAGTAGGTAGTTATAGTGATTCCTTCTGATTTCAGTGTATGAAATATTTCTGTTGATTATGTAATGAATACAGAGAAGAAAACTGATCGGGGTTGATGTGTTTAATCACCACTAGTAGGCTTATAATTCACAAACTGGATAGCAGGAAAATAAAAGTTGTCCCCTTATCCACCATTAGAAATTTAAAAATGTAACTAAGGGCACACAGGCTATGACCACGTTAGCTAATTTTGAAGAGCAATACTATCTTAGTTTTATGCTTTGATGTGAATCCCTCAGTTGTTTCCATCTACATTGTGTTGGTTTGGATGTCCCTGTGCTTTTGGCGTGCGCAGACTAAATTCCTTGCAGTTCTCATTGAAACTGGAAGCCTGCTCCGAAGCCTTATGTCCTGACCCACCGTGTGAACCCCCTCATCGTGGGGTCAGACAAACATTGCCTAATACACGTGCACCATCAGAAAGCTCTGGAGCTCTGGCCATATAAAGTATCAAGTATGTACATGCCCTCCCATTCGCCCTCAGCTTCTACCACTAAACTGTGATCATTCTGTTCGTTGTCACCTGTGCCCTATTTACTTCTGTGGGTTTAAAATCCTTTCTCTGCTTTACCTGCCTTATGTTGCAGCCCCTCTTCACGAATCTCCTTTTTTTTCCCCTTTTTTTTTTCCCCCTTCCTTTTAAAATTCATCAAATTTTCTTGGCATTTTGACTCCTTCCTCAATCACACAAAAAATCAACAGGCTGCAATATGGTCCTGGGAGAATGTCTTTCTTCTTGAACGTGTGCTGGAAGAAGGCCAGCATTTCTTGGGGACAATATTAAATGGTGGTAGCCTCAGGAGATTGAAAGCTTCCCATCTGCTGCCAGGTATGAGAAGAATAAAGGCCACGTGAAGAGAGGCTTTGTTCTTTTCTCTCTTTTTTATTTATTCATTTCCTTTTTTTGGCTGCTTATTTGAAGGCAAGACACAAATCGTAGTAAATCAGAGGCAGCATGGCCAGTGTGTGCCTTTCAGGAAGACCTGCAGGGAATCTGTGTTTGGGAGACCCAGTGCAAACCTGCTGTTGTTTGAAATTTGCTCCTGTTTCCTGGCTTGATGACCAGGCACATTCTGCAAGGCAGGATTCCTGTTAGAGCTGTTCCAGGGCCTTCTCCTTGGCTCTCAGAAAAGAGCCCTGTGCTCATATTCCCCCCTAGTTCTCCACCATTGCAGCCATCAACGCACCCCTTTTGGCACCCTCAGAGCTCTCTTGGTGCAGCCTGGGTTGGCGTATATGGCTCTGCTGTATTTGCTCCCAAGCTGAAGATGGGGGAAGACAGAGGATGTGTGTGATTCCGGTGGAATAATGGCATTGATCTCCAACCTGAAGGAAAGCAGTGCACATCACCAACCTGATTGCAAGAGCCACGATACCTTTCAGTGCAGTTCTCCTGGAGGCATGAGCTCTGGGAGAAAACATCCAATAGCAACTGCCTATATCAGAAACTGCCTGTCGACTCCCTGCCTTCTCTACTATCTTGCTCATAGTCCAGATTAGTTGTATGCCACGGCAGGACAGCCCTCCCAGGCTTTCAAAATAAGCACACATCCATAGGCCACTCTGAAAGGGTGACTTATAGGGAGAAGATATGGCCATTGTGCCATGAACATTTCACCTATGGATCCCATTGCTGCCCCACAACCATGTATGTGTCTTCTCTGACATTGCCATATTAACTTCAGAAAAAGATTCTATCTTAATTCTGATCACAAGCTGCTGAGGTAGCAACGGTTGCCCACACACACATTTCCCCACATGTTTCCCTCAACACCAGCAGACATATTAAATTGCACCACTAGTCTTGTGAAGAGCCTGTCCATGGACATGCATTCTGTTTCCACAGAAATCCTGCAGAATCCTGATATCTGTGAGCCCTTCAAGTTCAGAGCTTGGTGCAGGTGTATTCTGCAGATGGAAGAAGTTTTGTGGTCCAGTGATATTCTTCAGGCAAGGGAGGTGACACCTAACATGGGATTGGGAATTAGGAAAGAAGCTGCCTCTGTGCCATTTATTTCTGATGGAATATAAGGTTCACAGCCTTACTCAGTAAGACATGAGGCAACCGTTGTAAAGGTAGCCCCTTACTACTTAGTGCAAACTGTTCTGCAAACAAACCAGGAGAGCTGCTTAGTTTGAATAGGCAGAAAAATGTGTACGTTCACACCAAAAACAGGCAAGATGACCCACCAGTGTTAATAACCTCATTCTGGCAAAATGGATGAGAAGCAGGAAGATTTCAACTTGTCTTTATCTCGGGCAGGATACAGCAGACAAAGCAAAGGTCTGCTGTTACCACACTGGTTGTCTTCTGTTCTGTTTATGGACAACAAGCCGCTGTGCTTCCTTTCCTCCTTCTTCTCCTTTTCCACCCTGTCCCCATGTGCCTATAGCCTTCAGGCTACACTGCAGGTCACAGGAAAGAGACTTGTGATCACCGCAGTGGTTATTACACACGCTTGTTCTTTCCCACAGGTCCGCTTTGTGAAGAAAGATCCTAAAGTAGTCCTTCCTCCTATACCCTTTGCATATGAAAGGGACAGCGTAGCCCTCCATTTTTCAAGTGGTGCCACACCTGGAAAAGACAACAGACAAGAAGAAGAAGTGGAGACTTCCAGCAGAGACAGTAGAAAAGGCTTCTGCTGAAAAGATGCTGAAAAGTGGCCATCACTAGTACATGGCCCACATACCTTGATGACCTGTACTGGCTTTGGAGAGTAGGCAGTTCTTGCAAGAAATCCTCTTTGACTCTCCAGAAACAGCAACTGTGCGCCCACACAGTTAATAGTTCTCTTGCTCAAGGAACAAGCCATACTTCAACCTGATAGTCAAAGGGTCTCTCTCAGCAGCCTCAGTGCAGGTCATTTTGCTATCCAGGTCATTGCAGAGGATGCAAGGGGGATCCTTTCCTTTTCCATTTGCTGTTGTGCATATCTGGCCCATGCTGTGGGCCAGATGGTTATAAGTTGTGCTGGACAACCAAGCTGTGGTGATGGGCTTCAGAGAATTGCATGACCATTAAGTCCTCTTCTTTCCATGCTCCTAGGCATTGTGCCTGCATCTCATAGCTGAGACATGTTAGCAAATTCAGTACGTTTTAGTCCCCTGCCAAATAAGTTTATTTTGTTCTTTGGTTGTACTCACCATTACTGATTTGCTAGAGATGTTCTTTGTGTTCAGCTTCATGGCCTTCCTCAGTTATGCACCTTCATATGTGGTTTTCATGTGTAGCCTTTGGAAATGAATGGTCCCATTGTGAAAATGCCCAGGTTTGCTTGTGGTTGCACATTTTCACACAGTGAAAGTGGTTTAGCTTCACTGTACTCATGAAACTCCCTGCCATTCAGAGCATAAACCTGATCTGCAGGAGATTGGAAGTAATTTCTTGGATAATGGAAGGTTCACCCATGAGAGTCCTCTGGTTCCAGAGGATGCTAATGAGCCCTCCTGTGGCAGGAAAGTTTCAGGGAAAATGTGAATGGTTGTTTCTGGTCTTTGCTCAGAAAATGGACATGCAGATCTTGGTCTCCGGCCACCTGCTGCATACCAGTTAAGATATGAAAAGACCAGGGTGGATAGTGGAAAAAGTAGTCGCATTTTGAACTTCATGTGTTCTGCAGATATGGGGCATTGTGTCAGATAATCCTGTGTAAATTTACCTGACCCAAATATATTGGAGATGTAGGGAGCCTCAGCCCTCATCACCTAGAGCTACCATATGCTCTTATTGTGCCTAGTTAATTGCTAAGGTTGACAATAGCCTCAGACAACCTTTACCTTGCCTCCAGTCCACACACTTTAAAATCAGGATCAAGACCTGCTGGAGGCCTGAGTGATGAAGCTATTATCTGTGAAAGCTACACAGTAGTAGCTGATAATTCATGCTGAAATATTAATGTGTTTGGTACCAAGTTTTCTAGTTATTCATATCTGCTGAAGGGAAAATTAAGAATACCAAATTCTGCATGAGCCCTTAGCATATGCTCAAGTTAATCTTAGGAAACCTGGGTCATTTTTCCAGTAATTTCCCAACAGTGAGCAATTGATATTACATGCTTGTGATGCAGATGGGGGAGGGGGTAGTTAGTTTTAATGAACTAAGCAAAGATATCTTAACCCGTATTGTTCCTTGTAATGGCCAAATCTTCCATTTTTCATAAATGCCATTTTTTTTTAAATTCTATTTTCCTATTTAGAAAAGTAAACCAGATTTAAGAATACATAGAGCTAATCCATCATAGCACTGGGAATCTGAAATGATGATACTCTTATATGATGACATACTTACACGAGAAGTGCCTTAATCATATGTATTGCAGATAAAGCTCATTTGTATAAGGTACACAGCAAACTCGTACATGTATTTTAACTGCAATAGATGAACTTGATGCCTTGACTCCACTTGCTGAGATAAAAGGCTTCCAACAGTTGCTAAAATAAGAGAAATTAAAATATGTATATACTTGAATCTGCTGGACTTCTTTGGCCATACTAGAAAAACAAGTGCTGATTCTTCAAGTGATTTCAACTTTATATTTCAATAGTATCATAACATTCTCCAGTGTTTTATAAACTGATCTTTTAAAAGTCTGAGCTTTGAGGTCTACTACAGCTTTACTTTTTTGCTTTGTCTTTCCTTTTCGTCTCATGAGACCAATAGCATAAGCCACTATGAAAGCAAAACTGAGGTTCTGGGGCTCAAATAAGCTTTTTAATTGAAGAATGGGATGAAACAGTATTATTTGCTTTACTCAGGACTGTTTTTTAGGAAACAGACAATGGTGATTCTGTCCTTAGTAATTCAATTTGCACAAGATATCACAGACATGGTAATTAGAATAGAGTTTCTAGTTCTTGACCTCCTACTGAACAAGCTCACTGGGGAATAATTTCCCCTAAGGGTGGGAATAACTAGATTGAAAAATAGATTAACCTGGCATTGTTAAGGCAGCATGATACTAGATCAATGACTAGCCTGAGTTGTACAGTAGAAATGCCTAGAGCAGAGCAAAATCTAGCAATTAGTGGCAGCCATTGGCATCAATACAAACAATTCAACAATGACATTAAGTGAGAGGAGAAAATCAACAGTAAAGGAAATGACAATTGCATTATTTTTTTAAAGGAGTATTATTTGTACAAAGCTATTAATAATTTAAGATATTTTGTTACTCTGTATCTCCTTCCAGCCCCTCTTCCCTGTTTGAAAGCACATTCAGAATCTTTGCTGTGTGGAATTAGTCGCTGTATTTAATCCCTGCCTATCGATCATCTCATTAACACTGAAAGCATAAAGTTGAGAGGAGGGAACAATGCAATAGTCTCCCAACTGTGTCCACATGACAGAGCTAATCTATGTTAATAATACCTTTAAATATTTTTCTACTGAAGACCTTTTCCTTGGTTGTTTTTAAAGAAATGATGTGCGAAGTGATGCCAACGATAAACGAGGACACCCCGATGAGTCAACGGGGGTCCCAAAGCAGTGGCTCGGACTCGGATTCTCACTTTGAGCAGTTGATGGTGAATATGCTGGATGAAAGGGACCGTCTCCTTGACACTCTTCGGGAGACACAGGAAAGCCTGTCACTTGCACAGCAACGCCTACAGGATGTCATCTACGACAGAGACTCCCTGCAGCGACAGCTTAACTCAGCGCTGCCTCAGGTATGTAGCTTATAAAGATTCTTTTTTAGATTCACCAATTTTCTAGTTAATGTCACTGAATCAATATATATTCCTTGAGGCTCAATTCTGCTCCCATTGAGGTCTACTGCAAAACTCCTATAGATTTAAGAGTACCTGGTTTGGCCTCCTTAGGACCTGTGTTCTCTTCAAAGTTATGACTAGGAGTATTGTCATTGACTTCAAGGAGAGCAAGATGCAGGCCTGCAGCTACTGGTTCTTTTGGCTGTTGCTCTAACATTCACAACAGGTTAGGGATCATTTAAATTAAAGGTCTAATGGTGAGAGTGAAGAAAAAAAAAGAATGAAGAAGTTCAGAGTCTATCCTAAATAGGAGTTTCTAACTAGCTTTACATAAATAAAACTAGTTTGTGTAGGCTAAATAAGGAACTACAAGCAGAAAGAATATCAACTGATATTTTCATGTTTTTCTTCTATTTTAAAGTAAATATATCAATATATACAATTACCTTGATCAATTTAGGAAGTAAAACTGCACTGTCATATTTCACTTAGAACAATAATATTACATTTTCAATATTATAGTCTCCTTTAATATTCCATTTCAATATAATATTATTTTTCACTATACTAGAATTTAAAGACAAAGAAATACCTTGTTTTAGTTTCTGTATCTGGCCAAAGGTCTGAGGTATAGCATGTGTCAATAAGAATTTTTTTCTCTGTGTGACTTTTTTATGCCTCCCAATGTCACATGACAGAGGTCATGGTTGTGAGCTGGCAGCCTGGGTGTACTTACCTGCGCTAAGCTGTGTGCCCATTAGACAGTGTCTGGAGAAAAGAGCAAGAAGAGAGATTCAGCTGTGTGATTGGGAGGAGGAGGTGGTAAGGGATGAAAAAGGGAGAGAGACTGGATAACCATGTAAAAAGTAGATTCTGGACCTTAAATGTTCATGCAGTGAAAGAGGCTGCACTCAGTTTGGGTCAAACAGAAAGACAAGAAAAGAGCAGCAATGCTTCTGCTACACAGTAAAATCTTTGTCTTTCTTGTTAATTTGCAGGCAGTTAAGCTTTGCTTCCACTGGTGACTCTTCATAGAAAAGTGTAAGCTCAGATCCTTTCTTCAAAGGTTTCTTGCTAGAAATCTGAAGAGAGTAGGTTCTACATCTGTGAACTCCTGTTCAGTACTTCGCTGAGTACAGAGGCCCTCTATGCTCAGCTCATAATGAGCTGTTTCTATTGAGCAGTAGCAGGTGTCCAAGCCTAATTTTTTTCTTGTTTCACGTAAGCAAAACACCTTGTGAAAACCACAAAAATTGCTAAGGGAAATAGTATTCAGCAGAAAAATGATAGAGAGTCTAAAAGAAACAAATTCTAATGAACTGTAACACAATATGATTTTAATCCTCAGTACTTCAAAAAAAAAGCTTGTTTTTTGTTATACCCTTGCAGATGCTACAAATCAGATTTGTCAGGTGAACATCTTTCACTACTATGCAGCATTAAGAATGTGTATTTTAGGTGGTACTCTGTGAAGTACGTAAGTAGACATAAGATTTTCCCTTGGAAGAAACAGTATGATATAGTTCTTACACTTTAAAGCAGTAAAAGACTTTCCATCACCTAGATAGCCTAAATTGTCGTGTAACTATGTCAGTTCCATAAAAAAGTTTTTTTATAAGTATAGAACACTGGCCTATTAGTATAACATTTTGGCAATACAAGAAAATAACTTTCAAGAAAATAACTTTTATGAATCTGACATACTGTCAGATGGAGCTGGCAATCTTTCATCATGCTGGAGCTGACAATCTTACATCATGCTTTTAGCATTTTCTTTTTTGTTTAAGATTTTTTGTGAATGGCAAGTTTGTATTTCTAGCAGCTTGGCATAGCCTTATGGCAAACTGCTATCCAGTAGTCTTATTTTGGAAAGGAAAAATTCTGTGTTCACTATATTTAAGGGGAAAATGCACAAATACTCCATAAGATGACTCTCATTTAGTTGTGAAAACTAACCAATCCTCCTTACCATATTGCTTTTAGGGCTTGATTTCTTGAAAAGTTTTCAAAATTGAGTTATTTATTAGTATTTCATAGCATATCTCTGCAGCATTGTACATAAAACAAAGTTGACCTGTATCATGAAATGAGGGAATGAGTATGATATTCACAGAAGAGTAAGAAATGGGATGAAAATATTACGGCACAAAGTTGAGGCTGCTATATCTATTGGCTAATAATAAGCATTTCTGCCCTGGTCTTTTAGCTACCAGTAGCAGAAAGGGAAAATATATGCTATAAAATGACCAGGCAACTGATGAGAGGTGCATATATCATTCTGAGAAGTATTATGCAAAAGCTTGCCATTAAAAACTGGTAAGTATTAATTCAGTTGAAGTTCTCTTATTTCTGTAGAAAGCAAGAATTAAGAGGGAATATGAGTGCTTTTGCAAATTTTCTTGGGAAAGACAGGAAGATGGCAAGACTAGGTAAAAGTGAAAAATAATTTTTTCACTTAAGCTAAGAATAGTGTTGCCGAAGAAACAAATGCATGTAAGGTAGTCATGAATAAATGCGTACCAGTACTCGGAAGAATTTGAATTATCAATGAATGATACTGGGAATCAGTCTTTCTCAGACAAAAATGGTGTCAAAACCCCAATTTTTCAAGATGAACCTTTCATAAAAGACAGTGTATTACATGGTAGCCTTGAAAAACCCTTCATGACTTTTATTTTGAACTTTACTGTGGAGGAATTCCATGTCTTTTTTTTGTGGATCATTTACAGTAGTAAAATAAAAAAACAGTCTGAATAGTTTTACTAAAGCTATTAAAATTACAATGTAGTTGGGTTAAGTTAGAAGCGTTCCATATATGAATAGGTCTGCTAATAATCTGAATCTAGTTGACATATACTCTTACTTACTCTTCAAGGTCTTCCCAAGGTCTTCCCAAGGTCTTTTGCTGCCTATTGATAGCAAAAGCCTGCAAGGAAAGGGTATTTAGATCTGCATTGTATATTCTCTTACAACACGAATTTACTGTATTTATGCAGTGATACTTAAGTCTGTCAAAAAAACCTAAATATGACTACCATAATTTGAAGTAGGTCCATCTGAAGGGGCAAGACATGCATTCATTGACTAGTACCTTGATATTTTAGGTAATGCATTGATTTACCTTAGTCCTCAAACAAAACATTCATTTTTGGAGAAAATTCATAGATGACATGAATGCCATACCATCATTGATATTGCTGTAGATATGCTGATGTTTTCCAGTGGATAAAGCATGATGATCCATAGTTTGCGTTGTCATAAGGGACACATAGAATACACAGTTCTAATGACTGATTTAGAGTCTTTCCTTCACGTGCATTTTAATGTCCTTTACTGTCTTTACTTCAAAGAAGTCTAAACTGTGATCCTAACGATCTCAATGAGCATTTGTTTTAGTAGAACTTTTTTTTCCATGAATGTGAATCTTTTTTGATGTTTTTGAGGATGAAAATCTGGTCCTAACATATATCTTTTGTAGTAGGAATCATCTCAAGTAAGAAAACTGCCTAAAACTTACGTATTCAGTCTTAATCATGCAGAATCTTTATAAGAAAATGAGAACAGCAGACCTCTTAGAAAGGGCAGTTCATCCTGTAAGATAGGTAAGATGAACCTGGAAATGTTCATCTCCTTTTCTTGACTATAGAATCTTAATGACTAGGTTGGATGGTTAACTTCAAAATAGCTAAACTTAGGTGAGGTTAATTCTGTGCACAGATATAAATTCTTGAATTTAAATTTGACCTATAAAGCTACAGCAGTATATATACGCTATTCATTGGTAGTGATCATAGAATAATTTATATTAGAAGGGACCTCTGGAACTCAGCTGGTCCAAACCCCTCTGCAAAGCAGGGCTAACCATCCAGGCCTTTTATGGGGGCATAGTTGAAATGCACGTTAATCTGGTTCTGGGACAACCTCCTCTTCTGAGAATTTTTACAGCCATAGTGAATAAATCTGTTCAAGGTAATGAGCAAACAAAACATAAACCTTTTGGCCCTATAGGATGTTTAGCAAAAATCTACAACTTTATGATAGCCCTTCTAACATTAAATCCAGAAAGTGAGAACTTCAAATAGAGCTGATGAGAATAATTATTAGAGGAAATAAATATTAGTGTTATCAATTGCAATTGACTTTATGTCTTTAATAGCTTCTTTAGAATTTTATTTTAAGTAATTTCACTAGGAATTTCTACAACAGACAAAAACATATTAATTACTAAAGAAGTGAGGTCACATTTCTTTTTCCTTGATAAGAAACATGGAAAGAAAACTATTCCAGTTTCTTATTCTACTTGTATTTAATATTTTATTTTCAGGAACCTTCTGTGTATTGTGAAGCTCTCTTGTGGAGATCAAACACCTAGTTCTAATTAAGCATGAATTCTTCAAGACCTTTCTAGGAGTTTTCTGTATTTAACTGAAATCATTAATATTTTTTTCCTGTAGTAAACATTATCATTAGCACTATTTGAGAATCTTCTTTTTTGGGATTCAGACAGTAGATTTCTTTGGGGTGTGGGTCTACATGCTAAAACATCTTTAAATATTTCCTAGTACCCTTCAGGTTTCAGTTAACGTCCAATTAACTGTTCATTACATTAACGCAGTTATAAAATCAGTAACAGCAATATACTGATAATCAGTAAGGTTTTATTTCTTCTAAGAAGACACCACTTATTTGAAAATGCTTACGGGAGGGAAGATAGAAGGAAAAATCCAAAGATAGAAATGTAATGACATTGTTTTATTGAACCAGCTTATGTAATTTGATCAATGTTAAGCTTTAATGGGATTGTATTTAGGAAAGTTTGTTTATAGGCTTGCAATTTCTTCCCATGCTGATGAAAAATGAATGTTTTATTGCCAGGGATAGGAAAGGTACAGGAAGACAAGTCTTATTCTGAGCCTCCTTGTTTGTTCTGTCTTCTCTGTGCATATAAAGAGACATGT